AAAACATTTTTTTTTTGTACATATGGAACTTTGGTTCCAAATTAATTTAAATAATTAAACTAGCTCATTAAATTCTTTTATTCATTTTTCATTAAAATCCATTTAATAACTTAACCTTCCTAACCATTTTTGCCATATCCTTTTAATTCTATATATTCTTTTTTATCAATAATACTTAACATAATAATAATATTAAACATCCAAACCATATTATTCATTATTACAAGCCAAAATTGCTTAACTCGACATCAATATATATGTCCAAAAATTAAGTTAAGCAATGGTAAGTTTCCTCACACATTTTACAAACTAAGCACACAAATGGCAAGACGACGATCGTCATTTATCTTTCTTTTCGCCTACACCATAAGAAACAATGATGAGCAATGATCGGTAAGTGTAATTCATGCATGAATTCCTTTGATGCAAATTTTAGGAAAACCTTTTCATGCCTTTAAAATCTATTTTCCTCTTCGGACGTACCTGCTGATTGTGTATGTAGTCGACCTTTTTAAATTCATGCAATTGTGAAAAATTCACAAAAGCACTAGGTATCTTCCCATATCATTTTCCTTTTCCTTTTTATTATCCCATATCATTTTCCTTTTCCTTTTTGTTATCCGCATGAGAGGATTATCATTCCTCTCATAAATCTCGAAAGGTACCTAGCCATTTCTTTTTAAAAACTTGTCCTTTTTCTTTCATCAAAATCATGAATAGAAAACCTCTTTCATGATTATGATATACAAATGCATTTAAATAAGAATGCAATGCACTAACATAAAAACTCAACATGCATATTCATAAACCTCAAGAACATGTAGCATAAATAATCAATCAAATACATATTCCACATAATCAAATATGCATGCAAAACATGAATGAACATCAAACAAGATTAATGACACTTTTACACCTATTGGCCAAATAAATTAAGCAACATAACCAATCCATTTTTAACATGAAGCTGATAATTTTACATGTCATTTCATGCCTCTAATCTTCAAAATTATTATAAACCTCAAGTTAACCTTTCTTTTCCTCACTTTTCACACTAGGCCAAAACTTGGCCAATTGAAGGTTAACTTCCATTCCCCCCATTTTAAGCCAAATTTCCTCATCTATAGCATCAATTAAACATTTAAACATTTAATCATCAAATACATTTGAATTATATTAATAAAAAAAATTATACAAATATTCCTTCTTGGGCAAAATGTTCAAATTAGTGAGCAAATCTGAATTTTTCTAACCTAACACCATAAGCATACCTAAATCATTTCATCAAATATTTTGTATATATTAAACCCTTTAACCATAAATCTCTTCATGTTCAAAGGTATCAAACCACCTTGTTCTCTCGAATAAGAAGATCACCAAAACTCACATGTTTATTCCAATTAATCAACCAAACATAACAATTTCAATATAACTAACACAAATATAACACCTAAATCATTCAATTCCATCATCATCATCACCATAAATCCAAGGATTAAATGATTAAATCATAAACAATAAAAATTCAATTTAACATCTAATACACATCAAAAGCACTAGTTTCTTATGGTGTAATGAGGATTACACTTACCTCATTTGAAGTTTGGCCAATCCTCATTTCCTTCTTGGATCTCTTCCTCTTTCTTTCTCCTCCAAGTTTCGACCAAAATGGATTTGTCCCCTCCTTCTTTGCTTGATCTTCTAAACTGATTCTAAGGTAGTTTTAGGTGTTTCTAAGTTAACTAAGGTGGTTTGGAGTGGTGTTTTAGTGGTTTTCCTCTTGGTTGCACTTGATCTTCCTTTGGTGTCACTTAAACATCTAAAGTTTCTAACCTCTCTTCCATCTTCTTCTTCCATATTTATAGCCAAGGTTTTTTCTTAAAATTAAACCATTTGTATCACACTTGGTTTGATTTTAAACTATTGCAATTAATGGCTTCTCTACATTTTTCTTCTTCCTTATCTTTTCTTCTCTTTTTCTTTTATTTTTCTTTAGATATTTTTCTCTTCTTCCTTCCTCCTTATGCCAACTTAGTTCCTCTTTTTTTTCTCTCTCCATTTTTCCAGAATTTTCTTTCTATAATCAGTCTCCCAAAATCAATTAATAAGTCCCCTAAAACATTAACACGCTACCCTTTAGTCCCTAAGCTTTTAATCTTTACAATCGGCCCTTCCAATTTCATCCATAACTTCACAATTTCCTTCAATCTAGCCCTTATCCTAGGTCTTTTCCAAGAGTAATTAAAGTTCCTAAAGTTGCTTAATCATTTCAATCAAATATCTAAACTTTTAATTATTACAATTATGCCCTTAAGTTTTACAATTACGTCTATAGGTCAAAGCATAACCATAACAATTAATAGTACCAATATCTAATTCAACCCTTACTCATTTCGTTAACCTTCCATTATAATCATACTTATATTTATTTTATTCTTAATTGAAGGATAAACTTCCATTCTTCATATTTAATAAATATTCTTTTATTAATTAAATAAAATATTTTTACAATATATTTACATTAGAGGAGGATTCTAGGTCGCGCTTACACTAATTCTTTTGGTTCAAAAGAAATGTAACTTCAAATAATAAGTCTGTGAAACCTTTTGATTTGATTTTATAATCTATTCATCTTTATTATTTCTGAATTAATTGAATTATATTCTTGTTTGTAATTGCTTACGAAGGCCTAGTAGGCAATTGTGAGCAAAGGATAATTGCTAAATTAGGATTTATAATACACAATAGTTATACATCCTATTCATAAGTAGCAATAGGCTAAGTGATTTCTAATATTCATGTCACTCTAAGTCAAGAAGGAAATTGTATAGTTTAAGCAAGCCGAGCTTGTGTGTTGATTATCTATTTTGGTTTTTTTTTTTTTTTTAAATTGTTAATGCTATTGTTGAATATGTGGAGATCTTGTTTGATATGGTTTGATAATACGAATTCAAATTGCATGCTTTTTAGGATGATGATTAAGTAAAAAGAACGAAATTAATCTACACTTTCGGGTTCATATAGACCAAATAGTAAATCATGAATAGAGTCTTTAGGTGTTGTCAATTATCAACTTGTAATTTGAAAGTAAAATTTACTCTTGGACTGAAGTCTTCCTAATTGATTAATTGCTTAAATTTAGCTTTGTTTTCATATTGTAAACATATTAAATTGCAACTCCCCCCCCCCTCCCCCCACCCTGCCCCCCTTCTCAGTAGTGTAGACTGAACATAAATAAGATCAGAAAAGCAATCAAATTAATCTGTTTAGGATTGACCTAAACTTATCGCTAGCTATAGTAGTCAAGTTTAGATAATTAATTTTGTGGTGTTATAGCATGCTATAAAATTGAAATTTTCATAATAACAATTTTTTTTTTTTTTAGCTGGTAAAGATTGAACCTTTTACTTTCTCAAGCTCTCCAAAAGCTCACTACCAAACCCAAGTAGTTCTTTAACCAGAAATAAACTCAAGCAAGTACAAGATCATAACACTCACAAACAAGTAGAATTACAAGATAAAAGGTCAAGTCTGAAATAAAGAATAATTTAACTCTTTCTAATGAATAAGAATTATGCAATAAATGAAAAGTTGGAAGGAATGATGATAAAGTAAGCTTAGATAAATAATATTTAGATTGCACTTCCTTGTGAAGGTGAGAGAATGGCCATTTTATATGTCAAGGTTAAAAAGTAGTTGTTTGAGTCAATTTATTTAACTCGTTGAAAAAATAATAGAGAGAGAGAGAGGGAGAGAGAGAGAGAGAGAAGAAGAAGAAGAAGAAGAAGAAGAAGAAGAAGAAACGGCATTTAAAAACAAAGCCTCTGTTTTTAATGAAAGGCGTGAAGATATGCACCACATCTAGGGTAGTTGTGATTCCGTTTTACAAACCATTTGATACTTGTAATGAAACAAGTATAAGAAATCAGCCAAGGGTTTGATTTGATTTTCTGCAACCCACACACATATGGCACTGTTGTTTCAAGAATGCTAATAATCATGAACTTTGTTGGGAATGTAGCAGCATACAGTGTGGTCCAACCATCTTTCAGTCAAACTCTGTTTTCGGCGATTCTCAAGTGCAAGAGCACCCCCTGTAAAAGTAAGAAACTTTACCAGGGCTTGATCGACAAACAGCGTGAATAAGTAACAATAATATAACTCTTTGTGACCACAAAAGAAAGCAATGGGACACTGTATCTTTTCTTTATTCAAAAATACACCTTAGCATAGGCTTAAATACCCTAAAGATTGTACTTGATCCAGTGGATGATAAACAAAATATGCACTGTTTGAACTTCCATATCTCATCATCACCTGCAAGTTCTAAAGCATAAACTTCTTTTTTAAATGATGTCAATGTTTACAGTTCATGGTTTACAAAGTAGAAGATAGCAAAACAGTAGTATTATTATTATTTTTTTTAATAGATACATAAATATAAACACACACACACAAAAGGCAATGACGTCTATTATGGACGTCTTTCCATTTCTCACTTTGTGGTTAGTACCATATCCATTCTCATAGGCACCAAAACATTTAGTGAGGTCTTCCAGCACTATTTTCCTTCCCATTTTCAATTGGTAGGGGGGAACTAAATTGTATAAAATTCAAGAAGGAATTCAAATTTAATTGAAATCACGATGCTCTCTCCATTCATATCCATCCATAAAAAGAACTAGAGAGCAGAAACTACAGTGACCAGATACTTAAAATACATGCCAGACAATCTATACTACACAGTTCAGCACATAAACTAAATTTTCCTGTGCTAATTTTGTCACTCACAAGCATAAATTATTCACCTCTGAGAGTAAGGTTCTCACAGAATAATGATCTGCCTTTTCCTAATCCACTTAAATAAAACCAAAACAGAAATTGACCTTGGAATGTCTAATGCAAGAGAACCAAAAGCGTGTAGGAACACAGAGGGAGTACATAACTGTAGGCTAAGCATGATAGTAGCAATGTATTGATCATTAGGGTTTTAATCGGAATCACATGCAGCTGACCTCTTTATTCTCCAGAACTACATCAGCACAATTTGCATCATCCAACAACTGCGTTGCTGGTTCTTCCTCTTTCTTTCCTCCAGAGATATACTCCTTTTTGTATTCAATGACATCTTTATCACTTATAAAGCTTGGCTGATTTGTAGATGATAAGAGCCTAGCCCACATCCTGTCTGTTATAACCACCTTGTTCTGTTTTTCAGTGATTCTCTGCAGGCCAACATCCAACAACAGGCCCCGTGTTATGGAACATTCACATTTCACTTGAGTAAATGAAACACAAACTTTTAATGCATGCTCTGCATATCTACATGGTTTGGGTGTATTGTGAAATGAATCATAAGTTATTGAGACCTACAACCTTGCATATTTCAACCAAAATAAAAATGGTACTTAACATAGTTATCTTGAAAAGATAGGGCATTATGATAGTTATTCGATGAGAGGTCACAAGAAGCAACTTAGATATGTTTAAAATGCATGTTTCTTTAGGAAGAAAAAAAAAAAGGAAAAAAAAAGGGAATAATAATAGAAAGAAAGAGAACCAACTAAGTTAAGGTTTCCAGGTTGTCAATGTTGCTTCAATACCTTTCTATCATTGAGATCCAAAAGAACAACCAAATATAGAAGATAACCGCAAAGGATACAGCACAAAAAAAAAAAAAAAAAAAGCACAAACACACACACACAAACAGCAGCAGTGACATAGAAGAGAAAAGGAAGCTGAAGACATAGGAAGAGAGGATCTAAGTTAGAACGACAGAAAATGGACAAAGAGCACAAGAGTGGTAATGAAGAGCAGATGTAAAATGTGAACCCCAAAAGGACATCAGTGCCATATAAGAAATAACTTCACTAACTTTCATAATTCTAATGCATTGATTCTCTCTAGACAAACAAAAATGATCCCATCAATTTAAGCGCTATTATTCTGATGAAAAAAAAAAAAACATTTCCATCATATGCAAGCAAATAACTCACATAGAAGGGTATGTATGTTTGTCTGCCATTAACGAGACCACTAGTAAAGCCTGTATAACCAGCCATTGCTCCATGCACAACACTTTGAGCCAGAAGTGTGCAGTACACGTTGTCAGATGCATTGCTTGGTACGGCACGGATCATATATGTAGGATCTGCCCCAAAAAACAAATTGCAGGATTTCATTATAACAGTTAATAACAAGCTTTGTAAGCCAAAAAAACTTGATTAAAAATAAAATATATCAGTTGAAATGTGTAATTCTAACCTATATATTTGAGGTTTATAGTCATCTTCTTCTGCTTTGAAAAATAGTCCTGCAGAAAAGGAAAGAAACAAATTAGTTTACCAGAGTATATTTCACTTTTAATATTGAATATGAATTGATGGGAAAAAGCAAGTGAGTCCCTGTAACTATGGTATGACATGTTCCGGGGATATTAGATGATGCTCAAGGGAGAACAGTTTTGGGTTAGATTCAATACCTTGATATTCTGTGATATCCACAGCCCAACATCTTGAAGAAGCTTGTTTCCTGAAGCATCTTGTTGGTTCATTGATTGCATGCTTTCAGAAAGTAGCTCCTGTCCAGCACCTTCGGCTATCACAATAACCATGTGCCCATTTTCTTTCAGTTGTTTCTCTATGTATTCAAAAAGTCCACCTTCTCCCTCTAAATAAAAGGGTGACTCTGGAATCAAGCAACAATCCACATCTCGGCTTGCAAGAGTAGCATACATTGCAATAAACCCTGCACATCAAATTCAATTGGATTCCTGAATGAAAGTGAAAATCACAACGACCATGCTTCAGCCAAAGAAAGAACAAGGTAAAGTTAAAGCAGAAGCATGAAACACGGACAATAAAATGGAAAGTCAGTAGAGGACAAATACACACTTCAAGTCCAGCAAAGCAACCAAATGGTCATAGCATCACTAGAGGTAGTATCCAGGAGAGTATATTAAGAGCCATGATTGCTTTTATGATGACCTGAATTAAATTATTGTTAGAAAAATCCCAATATGATAATCTGAATCGACAGGAAAAATGCATACCCAGTGCATTAACTTCAATAACTTTTGGGTAAACTATATTTTTGCCTCATTGATCCATAGTTTAAAATTTCCCAATGTTATGCCCACAATTTTTTAACATTTCAATTTTTCCCTTTACTAAATAAATAACAAAAAAGCTCATTCTTTCACATTTTATTTATTTTATTTTTTCTTACTTTTCTCATATTTTTCCCTCTCAAATCACAATACATATTATAGTATCTCACAAAAAAATTTTAACACTTGATAAGACTAAAACAAAATCAAAAAAATAAAAAAAAATCAAAAAATGGGCTTTTTAATGGGGTAACGATGGAACTTTTCAAAAACTAAGGGTAACATTAGGAAGCTTTAAACTGTAGGGGTAAAAGTGGAACATTGATGAATTTATAGGGGCAAAAATGAAGGCTACCGTTAAATTATTATTATTATTATTATTATTATTTAATCAATGTTCCTACTTCTATTTTTTTCAACTGAGTATTTCAACTCTCAATTTGTGATCAATCACGTAGTAAATGTCTCTTGACAATAAGATGACTTGGCAGTGAGTTGATGACATGGAGCTAATAAAACCAAGGTACATGGTAAAATATTGATAAGGTTTTGTGTATATATTATGTGAAAAAATACAAGTTTATTAGAAAACTTAGGTACTTGATTTAAAAAAAAATGTTGGAAATTTGACATGGTTAAGAAAGTTAGAAGACCTCGTAGCAAAAATCAAAGTTCATGTACAGAGAGTGCATTTGTCTCTTTCATAAGATGCTTCTTCATAATGTATGTGAAAAATGATTCAATGCATGCAAGGAGTTGGAAGGGAACTTGACTTCAACCATGAAGCAAGCACCGAGTGATGTGTTGTTAAAATATCAATGGCTTAACAAGATCATATACAAATTACATGACCAAACAATGAAGGCATTTACATAGTAACTACATTTTGCAACCAAACAGCTCTGAAAACAGAGCTACTTGAACATATTCTGGTCCACCTAGGACACAAATAACTCGGTGGAAGGGACTGGTCATGGTGAGAAAGGGACAAAGGTAAGAAAGAAGGAAGACATTTAGGAACAATTTTTAATTATACAGTTCTATATGATTATTCAAGAGTTTTAGCAGCTAGGAATCTAATTATTTTATCATTAGCAGTTACCCATTCTTTTATCTTCAGTAGTTAAGCCAGTAGTTATATTAACTACGTTAAAATACAATGAGCCCCCTGCCCCAACCCCACTGAGATCAAGTGCTACACATTTAAATAGTCCATGACGTTATTATTCTAATGATTATATATAATCATATATGTCTTTGTGCGAGGCTTAATGATTAAATACATTGAATATAGATACATAAGAATATTAATGAATTCTTCAGTTTTTTTAAAAAATAAAAACTAAAATTATTGGATTTTGCTTTAATAGATTATTGGATCTTGTAAAATAAGATTTTTATTTACTAGCATTGAACCCATGATTCAAGAATTAAAAAAATAGCTAATGTAACAAAAGGGCATTTTGGGTATAAATGAAGGGTTTCTAGTAGAAAGGGTGTTTCTATAATGTTTTCTTAAACCTAGTGGGAAGTTTCTGTCATATTGTCAAACTTCGGGTTATGCTCATTTTTTCTATTTAGCATGTTTTCCTGTTCCTATTGGCTTTAAGTTTGCTATTTTGTGATTTAGGTGCTTATTTATAACACCCTTGTTAAAAATTCCAAGTCAAGTAATATATATTTATTGATTTAAAATAAATCTAGTTTTTGAGATAGCTTCTCTGTGGTTCTATGTGTCTGTTTCATTTATTGTTTGACACCACATAAGTGGTATTTAATCAGCTTAATGTTGAAATGAATCAGAAATTCAATCATAAGAATCTAGAATTCCTTTTCTTTTTCTTTCCTGCCACGACTCGTGTCAATAAATATCATGTTGGAGACCTCTTTGTAATTGACTATATAATTCAATATTGATTTACACCTAATACTAAGAGTGGAAATAAAATTACAGATGATTTCAGGACAGGAATTGAAGCATACCACTGTAGCGGCCCATCAACTTCACAAGACCAATACCATTCTCGATACTTTCAGCCTCAACATGTGCTGCATTAATAGCACGTTGAGCCTCCTCAACAGCAGTGTCAAATCCAAAGGACTTATCAATAACCTACCATGTATAAAACAATTTTGACAATGTGTAATTGTTGCATTAGAATGGTTGATGCATTGCAGCTTTGTGGTATACAATACATTGTACAGCTAAGAATAACCTACAAAAGTACCGGAATGTCATTATCAATGGTTTTGGGAATTCCAGCAACCACAACTTTGAGACCTCGCCTTCTAATTTCCTGCAAGATTGAAGAATTAAAGTTTATGTAAAGACAAGAAGAGGCAGAATCAATTATAGTTTCAATCAAGCCTTTTAAAAATTAGTCGAAAGTAGTTCCCTGGCTAATTTTCCTGATCTTGATACCATTCCATGATTAGTTTTGTTAAAATATTTATCTTTATACTTCTGCACTTGGTTTTCATTCCTTTCCGTTCTTTTCTTCAACTTCACTACAAATTGTGATCAACAACATCCATAAAAGAACCAAAGCTATAGACTATAGAGCACTTTTAAGCATCAATGTCCAGGTGCAACTAAAGCGCAGTCCTCAATTCGCGTAAGAGCATATTACCTCAAATATCACTGATGCCCCTTTCTGAGTTCCATCTCCTCCAATAATGTAAACCTGGTTGGCAAGAAAACTACAGATAAATATATGTTCTTCGGAAAGGTGAAGAAATCCTCATTTAGGACAAATTGGCTGACAAATTATATCTTTCACTCACCTGATTAATACCTCGATCCTGAATGCTGTCAACAATTTTTGAAGTATCATGGCCACCTCGTGATGTTCCAAGGATGGTTCCACCACGTTTATGAATGTCATTCACAACCTTAGGTGTCAGAGCAATTGTATTTCGGGCATAGAAACCCCTGTATCCACCCTGTATATTCCATTACTTTGTCAGTTTATGATCCATGGGTATGTAGGGAGAAAAGAGCATTTAATCAACCTACTTACCTGATGGAACAGCAATACCGCTATTCACAAACAATAAAGTATTAAAACTAAAAATAAAAAAATAATAAAAATAAAACAGAGAGAGAGAGAGGAAAATCACATCCCAAAACTTTAAAATTAGAATGAGATTATGACACTATAGTTTAGCCAACCTTTTGAACAAGAGAAAGGCATCAATTTCAGCATGTAGGTTTTGATCAGACAGTATATCCTTTTTGTTTCCAATTAGGAAACATGTTCATGTCAAATAACTAAAACTAAATTGCCGTTTCATTTGAGTGAGAAAAGTAAAGGAACAACAGAAACATAGATCAATAAAACCTCACACTTTGAAAGAGAAAAGGAGATAAGAAGACACAAGCAGAAAAGGAACATAGTTAGACATAAATTGGAGTACAGATCTTAACAATTACTCACATCTATCCCCAGCACTCTCTTCACGCCATACATATAGTACAAGCTGTACACTATTTCTCGAATTACTGTGTTGAGTCCCGGGCAGAGACCCCCACATGTAACAATGCAAGCATGAACTTCATCTGACTCAAAATAGACCTGAGAAATATGCAAGAAACACGTACATGGAGAATCACTTATTGCTTCAACATTCCAAAACACAACATTCCACAACATTTAACGCTTGATGGACATAAAAACACACCTTTTGACGGGGTCCGGCACGACGGAAATGTATCCCCCTGGGACTATCCTTATGAACCACAATCTAAAATAGAGGGGAAGACAAAAAATAACTTCACAAATAAATAAAACTTTATAAGCTGTCTAACTCATCAGCGACATATAACTCGAGAATACTTTGGCATTTAATAGGGCAATTGCATTCTGGATTGATGGAAACTAGTCTAGTCTGTCTATCTATCTGTCTAGAAAGTGATTAGTTAATTGTTCATAAAAAAGGTTACCTTTTGTGGAACAGAGTCATCCACATGAACAAAATACTGCCTGGAAAAATAATAATAACAATAATTAGCTTAATTAACGCCATTAATCTCCCTCCAAAATGGGAAGTTTTTTCATAGTCTGCAAGATAAATGAAATTACACAAAGATAAATCAAATTACTTGACAACCGAGAAAGCGGGATTGTCTTGTAAAGGATTGGAATAAGTCTGCACCCAAATAATAATTATTTGTTTTAAAAAAAGATTAATAATAATAATATTGCATCGATCCGCAATGAATGAATGAAAATGAAGACGTACAGGAAGATCAGGAATGTAATCTGTGAAATGAGGAACGTCTTCAAGAACATAACCAAAACCACCAGAGACGATCTTCGGCTTGGAGACACCATTAGATTCCATGGCGAGTGTTGCTGAAGCTGATGAAAAAGATCGAAAGGAAAGGGAACCAATGAAACTAAGCGAAGAAAGTTTCCAAGAATTCGAAGTTTCCAGAAAAGGTGAAATGAAATATGATGAAGATGATGACGAAATAGACGATTATTTAGCAGCGAAAATCGAATCCATGCAATGCCATAGAAATCCAACCAGTAAGTAAATACAGAGGAGGATTAGGAATGAGAAAGACACCACCCATACTTATTATAGCACACGGAGAAGACGACGTTGACCTTTGTATATTTGAAGCTAATTAGGTTCGTCTTAATTTGCGCTATGCTGTTGCTGGTTTTTGAACCAAACAAATTAACAAACAGGTGGCAAGCAACCAAATACTAAATGGTTTTGTGGGTTGTTGATTTTTCTTACGCGCAAGAAAAGGGACTACTAGTCTTCCGTCCTTGTACTAGTACTAATAAAATATATAGAAATTGGATTGGATTGAACTGAATTCACTACAAAATCAAAACGAAAAAGGTTTTGGGATCATGAAGAAGAAGAAGAAGCAGCAGCAGCAGAAAGGTAGCAAGAGCAAGGAAGAAGGAAAGGAGAGAAACTTATTGTAATTATTATCTTTATTCTTTTTATCATAAAGTCAGATTTATTATTACTGCTCTTGATAGTGGTTGAACATAAAGATTCCAACCATATAATATAGATTAATATATTATCCATCCAATTAACTGAGGTGAGATGCTTACTTGATTTCGCACCGCTCCCCAATCCGACCGTCGTGGGAGATACTCAAGTCAAATGTCAAAAATATTTTGGTTGACTGCTCCAAAAAATTATCAGGCAGGAAACTAACAAGGTCTTTCTTTTTCATAGATTTGTATGCCATATGACGACATTTCTGTAAAACTTGTTTATTTGTAAATTATTATTTGATTTTTTCTCAAAATATTGAATTTATTAAAATAACTACTTAGACATGAAATTTTGATTGGTGGAATCCATCAATAAATCTTCTTAAGGTCAGCTAATATTATTATTAATTTTATTTATTTATTGTAATAATGTAATACTTGCTAATTAACATAAAATTTGGTACATAAGGATTCCCACCAGATATCACATTAAAATTATATGATATTTGTTTCAATTTTGATATTGTATATGCAAAGTACTTCTTTTATTTAAATTCTAGTTTTGTTCATTTTATTTTCAATTACATCATCTTATTCGGCAGCGGTAACGAAGGAGGAGTTGTCAGACATAAAAGGTGTGCAACTGGCCTTGTTGCAACAACGTGATATCAAACCATTTCATTATAGTATCGAGGTTTAATGACCTTAAAGGTCCAAATGGTACCCCTTTTTGACAAAAACAAGAGTGTGGGCCAATTTTTCTCAGAATTTAGACTTTTCAAGAGAGTAATAGGAGTTTTTCCGTTCATAGTCCAGCCAATTTTTCATTAATTTTGACTTTTCAAGAGAGTAAAGGACACATATCATTTATTTATTTATAGCTAGATGTTTTCTAGGTTGGCAAAAGAAAAAAAACATTTTTATTTATTTTAAAACTAAAAAAAATTCTTTTTAAAAAAATTTGAATTTTCAATTTTATGCTAAGGAGGTGTATGAAAAACTTTAGAAAAGAAATAAATTTTATGTGAAAAAAAAAATCAAACATATAAAATCAAAACTTTCATAAAAATCAAATTGAAAAAAATCAAGTCTATGAAAAATTATAAATTTATCAACATCAAAATCTCTTTTCAATACATCCATCAACTTATCATTTATTGAATATTATTACACCAGATCGCTACAATATTAAATAATTAGTTTGTGGTAATAAAAATAAGTAAAAATTAACAAAAATAATTTTAATCAATTTTTATTTTTTTATTTCTTAAAACAATTTATTTTTGTTAGTGTAAATAAAAAACTCAGGAAAAATTCTAGCAATAAATAAATGAAGCATTGAAAAATATTTTTAATTATTTTCAAACTTTTAGTTAAATTTTATCTTTTTAAATTGAAACCAATAGATTTTTAACACTTCTCCATCCTTCCCTTGAAAAGTCAAAATTGATTTGACCATGGATGGAGAGATTTCTTCTGCCTAACAAACCAAACTACAAACATCCAATTGTTCAAATTAAACCATAAGGATGTTTGTGTCAAAAATCAGTTTCATAAGAGTCTTTATTGATCTTAAATCATAATATGAAGGATGATAATACTAGTCTTTATGCGGTGGTTTTGGTGAAAAGTTTGGACGACGAATAAGAAAGGATGGGCCAACGAGAGACTCATATAAAACGAAGGATGGCTCAATGAGAGGTACGTATATATACACATCGTACACACAACTATTATTACGTTATTATTCTAAGAAAGGCTACAGGATTGACTTAATCTTCTGAATGCAAGTCACACGGAGCCTAGAGCCTGACTGTCCAAAGTCCCATCATTATCACTAGCCAATCTAGTGATGGCTAGTAATGGTTAATATTTAGTATTCTGTGTAGGAATTTAATCAAAAAGTCAAGGTAAGGACAACAAAACAAGCTGAGCATTCATCCGTAGTTAATTATCGTTTATTGATCGTTATAATAATAAATAAATAAAAATATTTTTTTATTAAAACATGTTATATTATTAAATAAAATTAAAATTGCATAGATTAAAATAAAATAAATATATAAATGTGTTAAGATGTATAAAAATATTGAAAATTTTTTTTTAAAAAAGAAATTTAGTCTTCATTGTCGTCATCTCATGTATCATCTTTCGACTATTAGTTATTGAGAGGAACGACTCGAATGCTAGATTATAGGAGGGTCAATTATATGTGCATAATTAACATAATTTTTATGTTTTTTTTTTTTTTACATTGAACTTTCTAATGTTTATTGTACTATATTTAGAAAATTAAGAGAAAGATAACGATTTTGAGCTTTGTAGAAAAAATGCCAAATTGAAGCAAGAAACCCAAGCCAAAAGTAAGGAAAAGCCAAAAGCTACCAAAGAAGCTTAAAGAGACATAAGACCGTGTGTGATACAAGAAGAAATAACTACCGGGCGTGTGAAACAAAGAAGGAAATTATGTGGATGTCTAGCATGATTAACTTAGACCTTTCGAACTTCTTATAGGTTTTTCGAAGCCTTAGAGCTGGATTTGGAAGCAATGGGTATTGAAAGACTTTGTAGACGACATCTCGATCTTTCCGGAATGAAATAGTGGGTCAAAATCCAAGTTTATTTTGGCCTCCAACTGATATTTCATATTTTGGTCTAGAAAATTGATCTAAATCCTATTAGGAGTCCGGATCGATTGTGGAGTTCAATTCATATATAGAGTTTCGTAACTTTAATTGATGCGAGGCCAAGCCAATATAATACTTAAAGAGGCATACCTACAAGTCTTATGAGGTCTTCGGTTCAAAATAGATCTTTATCATAGAGAAATGGAGTTGCAAAGTGGAATCTTAAGGTTGGGCGGACAAGTTGAGTTAGTATGAATATTTTACTCATAACAAAAGATGTAGATATCCAATTGATACAAGCCTTAATGAGTTACAAAGATAAGAAATTAGGATAAAACTTTCATGAAGCACACAAACTCTAATTCGGTGTGTATCAAGTTCATTTAAGTCGATTATTCAAAGATACACGAGCATTAAGGTAGTGATACGGGATGAAGTGTAAATTCCACATGACTAAAAGCTGAGACATGGATGAAGGAAACAAATCACACGAGTAGTAGCTTGGGACATGAGATGAAGTGCAAATGACATACGATCTTGTGCCTTAGTCAAATAAGCCGTGTGTCATAACAAACAATCCATGTGTCCACATAGGACTACCATACATGTATTGTAACCCTACTTTTGGCTATAAATAGAGAAGTTAGGGCTTTATTTTAGGGAATCATTGAATTCCAATAACCACAACTCTCTTGTAAGTAAATCCTTGTAACTCTAAATAAACCTTTTCTTGGTTAAAGGGAAGTTAAATCTTTTGGTTAAATTATTGTGAGACATTAACGAGTTTTAATTCTAAACTTATCTTATTTAAGTATTTTATGTTTTTCTATATGATTTGATTATAATTGTATGGTTAATTGATTAGAGTGTATGTTAATCGCTTAATCATTATAATCTATTGTTAGTTAAGTATTCAAATTCATGTAATTGTTTATCTAAACTTTCCTATGGTAGTAATTAGGGATTAATGATTATTTTTCATGTTTTCATTTAATCCTTTGAAAAATATAGAACTAGATTACATATTTTTAACGTCTATAAATATGGTTTAGCTTTCCTTGTCTTTCTCTACTTTAATAGTGTTATTAGATTAAATCTATCTAGCGTCTAATAGGTTGTGAATATAGTTGGTTAATGAATCACTAAGGAAAGATTGAAGACAATATACACGATGTTAATAGTGTTATTGGATTAAATCAAGTATCATATATTTGGTTAATGAATCACTAAGGAAAGATTGGAGACAATATACATGTTGTTATCCTAGAGTGAATATGCATGTTAAGGATAGCTTAACAATTGAATCAATGATCAACAACTATACCAAAAGTGGTTACGGAACTTCAACCAAAACCTTTCCCATTATTATTATTTAATTTTACTTTTGATTTCATACAATTCACCATAAACATAAACCCGCATTTAATTCTTTAATACTATAAAACAATCATATAATAGAGACCATTAATTAGGTCATTTCTCCGTGAGTTCATCACTTACTTGCCCTATATTACACCATTATGATTGGATTCCATAAGGAAAATATAAATTACTAATTTATTGACGAACGACATGCCATCAAATTTTGGCATCGTTGCTGGGGAATTGTATTCAAATTGGTGGTTTCTTGATATTCTAACTATTTTAAAGGTGATGTCGAGCTAACAACGTTAAACAAAAGTGCTTATGAGAGGCAATCCAACAAATTTACTTTAAATTTTATCATGTTAATGTTTAATTTAGTTTTTTT